AGTCGAAGATATATCAATTCAAACGTATTGCATTGTGGGCAAATAAACCTGGCGTGGTAAATCCGTCTTTTGGTTAAACTACTGTCGATGCCCTCCAAATTAAAGTCTCACCTTTGCCACCAACATGCAGCCGAGGGAAGCGAATCCTTTACTGTGGCCGTTGATTTCTGTCTAGTAAGTCCTCCGCCTAGTTATGCCGTGCCATCAGAATAGTGCAGGCATACATGTCTATGGAGCCCACTCTTCTCTATTGTGCTATAAGGCCATTGAGATTACAAAAAAGTTCATTGATGATTTGACAGGTCTTGCCATCCGGTGTATGTCAATAAACTACCTGTGCATCCTTGGTATGACGATAAACTACATCCGCGTCCTGGGTATGACGATAAACTACATCTGCGTCCTGGGTAAGACTATAAACTACATCTGCGTCCTGGGTAAGATTATAAACTACATCCGCGTCCTGGGTAAGACTATAAACAACATCCGCGTCCTGGGTAAGACGATAAACTACATCTGCGTCCTGGGTAAGATTATAAACTATATCCGCGTGCTGGGTAAGACGATAAACTACATCCGCGTCCTGGGTAAGACGATAAACTACATCCGCGTCCTGGGTAAGACTATAAACTACATCCGTTTTCTGGGTAAGACGATAAACTACGCCCAACAGCAAGGCCTCAGATCAGGAGGACTTGAGGAGCGTGGAAACCCCTCTTAATTGCTGGTGTTCCCAGGTTCACCCTTACTCGGGGTGGTAGCACCTGTTAGGGTCCCAGCTATGGGCAAATAGTTAACACCCAAACTTATGTAAAAATAGGTTTCAATACCAAACATATTTTGTAATAAAAAAAAAATATTGCCAGCAATAATTTTTGAAGAAAAATTATTATCAGCTATACTTAAAAAAATAGCAGTAATACAAACTGCTATACATTCTTTGAAAAAAAAAAATATGACCAGGTATAGATTTCTTCAATGAAAAATATTCCCAGAAATAGATTTTTGAAGAAAAACATATTGCCAGCATTAACAATTTTTTTGGCATTAATTTTTTTTTTTTTTTTTAAGCATTTCACCCCAAGCAAGGCGGGAAGCCACTAGGATGCAAGGGGTTACAGAAAATTTAGAGCAAGATCGGATTGGAGTGATAGAAGAAAGGATGAGGGTAGTGGATAGATCAAGGCAACTGGAGATGTCGATTGACATTACACTTGAATTGCTGGAGATTATAGCTCACAGGGAAACAGGAATAGGGAAGGTAGTTCCACAGGCGAGAGGTGCGAGACATGAAGCTATTAGAGTAGAAGAGACGGCTATATTTAGGAGTTTCAACAGTGAAGGGGTGAGAGCGGGATGCCAGCCTCGTAGGGCGCTGGAATTCATGACGTCTGGGAACCAGCGAATGCAGCTCCTCGGAGCAATTTCCATGAATATATTTGTAAAACAGACAGAGGGAGTCGACCGCGCGTCTGTGAGAAAATAGCCTGTTGATGTTAAAATGCAGTAAAACAAAACAAACCAAATTGGCAGGTGTTGTTTTTAGTCATAGTGCGTGTCTAGTTATCTCTCCTACCACAAAAAACCCCAAAACAAAAAAAAAAAAACACGCCTGGCGGGATCTGGTTTAGTCGGCAATGAGCCAGCCACGCCCTAGGTAGTACAGGGTTATATGGTGTCAGTAGCACCTCTACAGTGATTTGACATAACACATGTTAGCGATATTAATCCAAATATTTGGTGAAAAATAATTATCTCGTTATATGAGTCGATTTTTATTGTTGTTAAAGTAATTCCCGTTTACTGTTTGTATGATGAAAGTGAAGGTGCTGGTAGTTTCGACATAATATTTGAAATTGGTGAGCCGAGTTCAAATTCTAGTCTAGTTCATTGCGTTCATTTTCTCTTAAATGCCCTTGATAAAATGTTTTCAATTCGTTTCTTATCCCCCCTAGCTGATGCTTAAATAGCAGGATGGAATGGACTGTCTTGTTTTTGTTGGTAACCAGAAGCAAAACACTGAAATCCCACCGTGGAGAAAAACAGGAATCCACTCCACTATTTTCCTTAAGAGGAAATGTCAATACACATCTAAAGTAAAGGAAGCTGTATTAAGACACAAACGTTAACGTCCTGGAAGGATATAGCATTTTGGCGGGATAAAAAAAATCGAAAATAGCGTTTTATATGTGTTGGACTAAAGAAGTCAACCACTGAACCATGTTATATTTAGCGATGAGAAACTCAGATCTGAAAAGACAGTTGTCGCTGGCTTCGGCTCATACATCAAACGAAATGACCTTCTCATATGATTTTTTTTCCTTCTCAGAGCATCACATAGCATCATTTACATTTGATTTTTTTTCTTACCAACGGTGATGAAGCCAGGGCAGGACGATCGCTCTGTGGTTCTAATCAAGTTTGACAAACCTTTTGCTTTTACCCGATCCGACCAACCGTCAATTCGTCTCTGTACCCGCTGCCCACGCGGAACGTTCAGTACCCGATGCGGTTAGTTGATGTTTGCGGCACTTTAAGGTTCTCCTGTGAAAGCTCGCATAAAAACCGTTTGTTTGATGTCAGTTTTATAAACGAATCGGTGCCCTCATGATACGTTCAAACGATACCATATGCTTTTGCAGCTATCAAGTAGGTACGACTCTTATGGATTCGATTTACATCAATTTCTCTGCCTCTTTCCCACGTCTGTTACTTTCTATATATTCTTTCTGTCGATGTTTCTTTTCTTTTCTTATGTTCCGTGTCCACTTTTGCCCTTTTTATATTTGTTCGTTTTTATTTCTGTTTTTGTATTTCCTTTTTTTTTTACTCGTCATTTCGTTCCGTTTCTCTTCTCAATTCTGTTTTTTTTTCTGTTTTCATTCACGTCTGTTTTGCATCCAAATCTTTTCCTCTTATTTTATACTGTTGTTTTCTCGATTTGTTTTGAAAAATTACATCTTTTTTTTAGATTCTTGGTGAGTATTTTTCGCTGTTTTGACATTATTTTCCTTTCGTTTTCTTTGAGTTTACATCTGCGTTTTTTTATTTATTTATTTTTTTTTTTAATTTAAGCCTGTTATGCATTTTGCCCGTTCCCATTCCCAATTTCAGCTTTTACCGATTTCTTCTGTTGAGTTTTCTCTCGGTTCCATATACAGGGTGCCCCCACAAAATTTAGGAAATTCTATATTTACTATATGATGAAAAAAATAAACTAACATATAAAGAAATTAAATTCTTTTAGTTGGAACACGACACATTACATTGTATTTTTGTTCTGTTTTAAGCAACTAAATTTCTATTCTTTGCTTTTGTTTCAAAAAGCGGTAATAAAAATTACGACAATTAAATAAACTGCTACAAATTTCTGTTGTTGTTTTATTTTTTTGTAGGACATCTGTAGTGAAGAAAATGGCGAATTACCTCGTCAAACCAAACCACAGCGTGTCGCGGGTATTCTACGAAGGAAAATATGGCGAAAAAGATAGGTACTTACTGAGAAAAAGAGTACGTAATTATTTACCCGCTGCCTCACGCAGCAAGATGTGGCACAAGGCCGAGTTTTAAAGTGGTGTATCCGAGCCCGTAGGCTTGAGCAAGAATTCCCTATAGACCACGTAAAAACGAAGTCCGTTTCCCAAGACGAGACTCTGCCCGTCGGGCATAGCCTCGTCTAGGGGGGATACCTTCTGACATCTGCCAGGTAAGTATAAAGGGCATGTATTCTGCATGATATGCCGAAGAAGGAATGTTCAAAACAAACAAGTCAGTCGCAGGACTTGGCGTGAAAGTATTTCTGATATGCTAAGATTGGGGGTCCCTTCCAAGTAATCGACGAATGAAAAAAATACTCCGTCCATATGAAAGCAGTTGGTGTTTTCGAATTGGAGAGGAAATTCCTGTATTTGGCTACCGAATGAGAAAAATAAGACATCTTGGACTTTCATCAAATTTTTATATCATGGAGTGTTTTGTAGCTCCCCTGTAAATAAGCGGTATTGTGGTATATGCAGGATTGAGAGGGGATGGATGAGTTCTTGTGGTTCATGAGTAAACTGTAATGAATGAATGGGTCGTGAATAATATTGACTAGGATAATGAGGACCAGCCCCTCCCTATTTCATCGTTGCTTTGTGCCACAATTTCTGTAAAAGCAGAAATAAATCTTATGTATTTCGCTACCGCGTTGATCGGGTGTGGTATTTTTTTCCTGGGTGTTTACGTGTATTGTGGATTTGTGACATAGAATCGAGATCTCGCCATTTCTTTCTGTCCCTTATATTCTAGTTTGAACTTTAGATTTGTGTTCTCCGTTGTATAAATAATCTGTGACATCAATTTCTGAACGGGAATTTTAGTACAGGGAAGACGAAACCGACTAAAACATCTTGTATTTTCAGTCAGTTTAGGTTGAATTTCCTCATTCTCAAGCAGTTTTCGAGTTTTGTTCTCTGTTTTGGGGGCACATTTTCGCTACTATTATAATTTCTATTCGTGTTTTTTTTCTTTCGTTTTTATTTATTTATATATTTACTGATATCATTGCTCTTCCACTTTATATGAGAAACAGGTTTTCGTCCCATATCTTTTCGTTTCTATTTTCCATTCAAGCTTTTATTACGTCCTTCTCATTTGATGTCCACCATCTTTGATCTCCTGCTTTTTACCTTTTAAAATTTTCCCTCTTTTCACGTTTTATTTTCTCTTTTTCTGAGTCCATTATTCTTTTTTTTCTCCTCATCTCGTCTTCCTTTTTTTTTTTAATGTTTCATTTCCCCCTCTTCTGTTTCGAATGTTTGTTCCTTTTTTATTTTACGAGGGTTAACCAATAACAAACGGGACATGATAAACGTACAAAAAGATTGTATTGCGCCAGCTTCTCAAATTAGAAAGGCCTGTCATATAAAAAAAATTAAATTATTTAAATGAATTCTCGCAACCACTGTAGGTGTCATCAAGCAATTTGCAAATATCTCAACACGGAGACACATTATAACTTATATTACTTTGGTTGAAAACAGTGTGATGCCAAGAGATAGACAGACAGATAGATATGAACAGATTGGGATAGATAGATAGATATGAACAGATTGGGATAGATAGATAGATATGAACAGATTGGGATAGATAGATAGATACGAACAGATTGTCATAGATAGATAAATAGATAGATACGAACAGATTGGCATAGATAGATAGATAGATAATGAACAGTCTGGGATAGATAGATAGATAGATAATGAACAGTCTGGGATAGATAGATAAATAGACAGATACGGATTGGCATAGATAGATAGATAGATAGATAGATAGATAGATATGAACAAACTGGCACAGGAAGATAGAGATAATGAAGCCTGCTTATATTTTTTTACAAAGGTTAGCTTGGCAGGGTAAAAGATCAAATGCAATAGGATGAAATGAAGGTCAGAAGATCATCTGAACCAGAAGAGAGACCTTTATACGTGCTCTCTTCAAAACGCATGCAGTCATCTTAAATATCAGGAGAACAGATTGCGCGACCTTGATTATAACTTGGCAACCAATCAGAGAAGCTCTAGCGTAAATAAATACGCTCTTTTGGGGTTAATAAATCGGCAGTGAAACGCCATTGGTTAAGCTTATATAGTGAATAATCTTCGTATTTCGAAAAGATTGTGTGCATATATTCTCATATAGCCTTTTTTTTATTTTATATTATTTTGGTAAAGCATTTCATCATCTACTCTGTAAGTCGGTCGCCTGCGACCGAAATGATACTCATTTTCCTCCAAGCTAACATCTCTTTTGAAAAATTCGTGGGTGATATTAAAAAGCACGCCACCTAACCGCTGTTGACAATCCGCAGTACGAATTTTCGAAAATCGAAATCAACAATGCACAAAAAATTTGAATATCTGGGAAGTTTTGTAATGGAGGACGGAAAATACGACACAAGATTCCGAAGACAGATGGAGATAGGCAAATATCCATACCAAAAACTAAGTGGAGAACGAAGAGATAGGAAAACTTCCTTAGAAATAATGAACATAGTACGGAATTGTTACGAGATCTCTGTTTATATGGCAGTGAATGCTGGGCAATTACTTCACTGATGAAGAAGAGACTTGAAGCAACAGAAATATTCTACAGAATGATGCAGAAGAAATCATGGACCGAACATATGAGCAACAGCGAGATTTTGGATAAAATGGAAACAAAAAGAAAACTTATAAAATCAAAAAGAGACAGGTGAAATTTCTGGGGTGCATAATGACAACGCTGAGCTTTACTCACATAACAGATTTCAGATAAGTGTGACAGAAGAAAACAACGCATAATTTACTCAATGACGTTGAGAAATTAGATAACGGATCAAGTTTTACAAATAAAGGAAAGACGGCTGACTCTAATCTTCTCTTCATCAGTGAGAAAATTGCCTGGTATTCATTGCTATAAAGACAGACTAATACTACATAGCATGTCATCATTCTTTTCTTGGTTTCGAACATATTTCTTCTTTCTTCGTACTTTGCTTACTTTCGTTATGCCTCTTTCCCTATTTCAACCCAAACTCGGATTTCAGTGTCACATTTACTATCCTTTATTAAATCACTTTAAACTTCCGTGATTGTTTGATTTTGACATCTTCAACTCATAATTCTAATCTTATGCCTTTTCATTTGCGTCCTGGGGTGACGATAAACAACATCCGCAGCAAGGCCTCTGATCAGGAGGTTTTGAGAAGGGTGAAACAAACAACCTCTTAATTGCTGGTGTTCACAGATCCAACTTGAGCCAAGGTTGTAGTACCTGTTGGGGTTCTAGCTATGGGCAAGTAGTTAAGCCCCAAACAAATTATGATAGTGTAAAAATAGGTTTTAATACCAACATTAAATTTTTGGAAAAAATATTGCTGCAATATATTATTAACTGAAATACATATAGGAAAAAGAAAATATTACCAGAAATAAATTCATGAAAAAGAAAAATATTACCAATAATACATTTTTGAAAAATAAAAAATATAACCAGCAATACATTTTTGACAAAAAATATTACCAGCAATTAGAAATATTGTTGGCATTCAGTCAGTTATAAGTCATTCGTGATACACGCTTAGGCGATCATGTATCTTTCGACACATGATTGACGAGGCAGATTTTTCCCGTAGTAGGTTGCCATTTCCTTTTGCGGTAGACCAGTTGCCATCGAAGGCAACAGAATCTTGTCTGTCCTGCTCTTTACCCATAACTGGGGAAGAAGAATGTTCATACCTTTCCAAAGGGTATTAGCATGTAAGTGAATGTAATGGATTCGACTGGAATTCGAACTCGGCTCTCCGTTAATGCTGACATACATTAATTTTGTCTTACAACTGATAGTCTCTTTGTCCTGCTCTCTCATATTGTCTTTTCCAGGAGGCCCGGTATTTTGTCTTTTATAGCGACCATCAACACACTTTCATATGATTATCTTATATTGTTAAGATTGTACCCATCCTTAATAAATCCGTCGAGGGTTCGAGCTCAATACAAGCGCTAAAAGTATACTTGACAGATTGTTAACCATTACAATAATTAACTTTCGTGAGGCTTTGTAATCACAGCACAAAATCACTTCATTAAATGAGAGTAAAAATTCATTTTCTGTGCTGCTCGTATGATGACGTTTTACCTGGACGGGAATACAGACAACAGCTAAGAACCAATACTTCAGTAATTATACCTAACTAAGGCAACAATAATAGAGCAAATAGTGATAGCGTAACTCATACATATATATATATATATATATATATATATATATATATATATGTATAGTATTGCTGGCCACACTGGTATTCGAGGATACCCGTCTAATTGAGCGGCTAGACAATCGCTATTGCAGACGCTTGTTTAGGGACATTTGTTTTTATTCAATACCCCAGGTAAATACTGCAACTATGCTGAGCAGACCTAAGTTACAGTTTCTGGGAAAAGAGCGTGTTATCTAGCGTGATCAGCAATTTGAACAAGGCCAGCACGCTCAATGACAAGACCAGAACGATGACATGTGACTTCGTGTTGCCGACGACCCTCAAAGGTTACGTCAACTCATTTTCACTTACAAAGGCTTGGGTCATCCGTAGTATGGTTTCAGTAGGCACTTTCCACGCTAGGATCGACCCTCCAAGAATATATATATATATATATATATATATATATATATATATATATATATATATATATATATATATATATAAGTGCGTCGGTATGCAGAAAATAGAAAAAGAACACGTTGGGTGCATAATCAGGGGTTCCTTAGTATTTTTGTTTTTATTTTTTAAGAAGACAGTGCTCCATACAGAAGTAGAGCTTATATTATAATAATATTTTTTGTTTGATTTTTTTTTTATATGCTAATTATTTAATGTTAACGGTTTTTTGCAGACATCAACAAAATTTCTCATTAAATAATTAGCATAAAAATAAATCCCATAGCTAAGTAAAATTCTTAAAAGCTAAGCCAAATCATTAAATAGGAAAAACCCTTTTTGTAGTCGTCAAAAAACAAAAAAACAAATTGAAATTCAGTGCAATGCGATCTGTATATAAAACACCCACTGGAATAAACAAATAAATAAATAGATAATCAGATGGACAATAATAAAAGACAGTTCCCCAGACACATAACGATTGTAGTCGCGTCATAAAAATATCCCTCACTGGGAACCAACTAAAGGGTGACCGCAGACATTAGCCTTGAAATAGATACCCTACTCAACCTTAGCAAAACCTCTCAGAAGATGATGACTCTATAGATAAGAATTAACTCTCCGACCACTTAACGAAGGAAAATAGTCTAGCCACTCCCACAATAACGAATTCTGTAACGGACCGTGCCTAAAAATACACCTAAACCGACAGATAGCTTATTCCTAAAATTTCGCTTGAAGATGAAACGGGACTAAACACCACAATCCAACTTAATTTTAATAATTATTTGGATATTTCGGCTCTCGTTTTTGAAACATGAGAACTCTTATGTAGTGAAGGAATCATATTTTTAAACAAAAATATTATTATATTACACACACACACACATATATATATATATATATATATATATATATATATATATATATATATATATTCGAAAATTATAACATACATATTTAATAAAATCACTACAAAAATAGCCATTTTTTGTTTCTGGCCCTTCTGGTGTCTTATCAAGTGATGGTGTTTAATATAGATTCTACATTCAACACCATCACTTGATAAGACACCAGAATGTTGAAACAAAATGGCTATTTTTGTAGTGATTTTATAACATATTTATGTTATAATTTTCGAATAAATAATTATATTTGCTCTACTCTGTAGTGAGCACTCATTTTAAAATAGTATTTGTTGGTTATTGGAATTTATTTAGTATACACCAATCCTATATACTATATATATATATATATATATATATATATATATATATATATATATATTAATTTAAAAAATGGATTTTCATTTACTTTTGGTTTATTTTCATTCTTTTACTCCTCAACATCCTTTCTTTCTCCGCTCTTGTAATTCTCATGCTTTTCTCTTTTATCAGTTTTTGAATGATTGGAATCATAGATGTTTTGACATGAAGGCACAGAGTAAAGTGATTTGTTATCGCCTGCATGGCTACTCGCTTCGTGATCCATACTTCAACTATTCTGAGCGGACCTCTGCTTGAGGTCAAATGTATGCTCATCATGCTCATTTACAGTTTAGAATTAAGAGTCATCATCATTTTATATGGTTTCCTCCTGCAGCTAGAGTCGAGTCTGTACTGCTATTTGACCCATAACTAGAGAAAGAAGGGAGGGATGTATACATTTAACAAGAGAATTTTTATGAATGTGAGTGTAAAGATCTCGACTTGAGTCCGAACTCGGTTTGCCAATTTCTCCTTCTGAGGCGCTAACAACTGCACTAACTGTACATCTTTTTATTTATTGCGTCATCTAATTTCAGCAGTCAGCTTTATATACAATCTTTTTTTTAATCTGCTTTGGGCCTATATCTCCTGTTTTTTTTTAAATTTTGTTAATAATATTTTAAAATTTAATTTGTTTGAGAGATCTTTGTAGTTATTCACCAACAACATTGACGCCTCTCCTTTCTTCTCTTGATCCCAAGGCCTTTCTTTTCTGACAGTTTACAACTCAGAACAAATATTAATCCTAACAGTCCATTCACAGGAGACATTTATTTGTCATTCTCAAAGTGATAACAAAGAGTATTTACTTTGTATATATGCAGATAAAATATGTCCCAAGTTAATTTTTCGCCTGATTACTTACCAAAACGGTAAGGCAGGAATGGCGTGTCGAGTAAACGCTAGCGGTGTTTTTCGTATTCACTCTCGATCAAATAACATTAAAAAAGTAAAAATCAATCACTCACCCCCGACCCTCTCACTAGATAGCGGTCAATAGCAGAACAAAATGAGATCGCCAGTCTTAGCAAAGACTCTAAGGATGGTGCATCGCTGAAACCATCTGGGCGTGGGTCTAGCAAACCAAGCTACTAGGGATACACTTCCTATAGAAACTAGAGCTGCATCACATACCATGCTGGGCTGTGACCCTATATTGCACACGAAGTCTACAGAGATAATAGACTTACCAAATACTTCATTGTCTTCTCAGGATTTGTCACTAATTGATCGATTTGTCTGTTTAACGGTATATCAAATACTTATGGGTCATTTATTGCTGAAATTTAATTTTTTTGGTAGCTTTGAAATAATAAAAATATATGTTATTCTGCTTTCACAATTGAATACATGGTAGATGATACTCAGCTTTTGTGCATATACATGTTTGTGTGGACATATTTACTTGAGACGGAGATGTGTTTTATGCTGGAGTTATATTTTGGGATGCATTTTTAATTTCTTTAATTAATTGTAGGATATTATATGGATTAATATCATGAAGAGATCCTCCGGATTAGTTGCTTGGTTGATCAACCTATATGGGTTATTTAATGCAGAAATTTAAATATTTTGAATGCGATTCTATGCCGGCAATTACAAACAAAAGGTTTTACCGTAATCCCCGATGTATAATACGCATTTTTCTAAAGGTTATTGTCCATGAAATTTAATTCCATTGTTTGTAGTAAAAAAAAAAAGTGATATATCCCGGAAAGGGATATATTTGTTCAAATTAGCAAGGTGGTTGTTGACTACTGTAACCGAGTAGGACAATCTAGCAGGAAACCGTAATGGACTGGTCTTCGACGTAGTGGTAGGCAATAAGCGTAGGTAATAGGCGAAGACTATAGCTGTAGCCAATAGGAGTCTTCATGTACATCCAAATCAGTCTGTATTTATGGCTGACACCAGCCAATATTACCGTTTTTACCCATGTATAATATGCATTTATTTCTAAAAAAATAGTAAGCAAAATTAGGGGTGCGTATTATGTCCAGCTACAAAAAATATCTTTAAAAAATTACCGTTTATACGTCGAGTTCTGTTGCGAAATATACGAATATTTGACATTAACATTCGACGATTTCGACCCCATAAGGATTTCAAATACAATCATATGTGCCCACACATCTTCTTCTTCTTCTTCTACCCATTCATATTGATTCTCTTCTTCTTCTTCTTCTTCTTCTTCTTCTTCTTCTTCTTCTTCTTCTTCTACCCATTCTTGATTCTTCTTCTTCTTCTACCCATTCATATTGATTCTTCTTCTTCTTCTTCTTCTATTCTACCCATTCTTTCTCCTTCTTCTACCCATTCATTGATTCTTCTTCTTCTTCTTCTACCCATTCATTCTTCTTCTTCTTCTTCTACCCATTCATATTGATTCTTCTTCTTTCATCTTGATTCTTCTTCTTCTTCTTCTTCTTCATTCTTCTTCTTCTTCTTCTTCTTCTTCTTCTTCTTCCTTCTTCTACCCATTTATTGATTCTTCTTCTTCTTCTTCTACCCATTCATATTGATTCTTCTTCTTCTTCTTCTTCTTCTTCTTCTACCCATTCATATTGATTCTTCTTCTTCTTCTTCTTCTCTTCTACCCATTCATATTGATTCTTCTTCTTCTTCTTCTTCTTCTACCCATTCATATTGATTCTTCTTCTTCTTCTTCTTCTACCCATTCATATTGATTCTTCTTCTTCTTCTTCTTCTTCTTCTTCTTCTACCCATTCATATTGATTCTTCTTCTTCATCTTGATTCTTCTTCTTCTTCTTCTTCTACCCATTCATATTGATTCTTCTTCTTCTTCTTCTTCCCATTCATATTGATTCTTCTTCTTTCTTCTTCTACCCCATTCCTCGATTCTTCTTCTTCTTCTTCTTCTTCTACCCTTCTTCTATTCTTCCATTCATCTTGATTCTTCTTCTTCTTCTTCTTCTTCTACCCATTCTTATTGATTCTTCTTCTTTTCTTGAGTTCTTCTTCTTCTTCTTCTTCTACCCATTCATATTGATTCTTCTTCTTCTTCTTCTTCTACCATTCTTGATTCTTCTTC